AAACTCCAACTTAGAAATAATAGCTAAAATCCTTGGCGAAATAGGGACTATCTCGGAATCTGGATAACTGCATGAGATAAATAAACGAGGTATGCAAAGGAGGTAAGGAAAGATTGCAATTACAAAGGTGGAAATGAAGTTTTCTTTTACATCAAATGACTATTTAAGTAATTTAATTTAGTTCGAAGTACTTCTTTAGCAATATATCAAAGTAGCTAAAGTCGGCTTGAGTTTCTAGATTCGATCTTGTTTACTAACTGAATTGCTTAAAATTCAGAATCTGAAAATTAAAATAGTTTTCTTTCCTCGAAATCTAAATCAATGCACCTGCGCTGGCTTATCTCGACTCAACCCAATTTAATGTGCTATGTCATAAAAATACTAAACATTTTCATAACTAATTTTGGTTGGCATTGATTGTAGCAAACGAAGTCACACCTCTCACCGTCAAATGCGACAATGCCGCAACAAAAGCCGACGAGATAAGTACACACACCTATTGGTGGGAGGAGAATTTCATCACATTAAAACTGAAAACTACTTCAGTGTGCCAGTGAGATCCAAAAGAGAAATTAAATTAAATTGCAACAAGAATGGAAAAAGTTGGAGCGAATTAATTGCACCGGCACCATAGGGAGCGTTAATTGCGGCGAAACGTTTTTCGCGAAACTTAATTTGTTTGCTTCGCTTTCTTTTCTCCTTCTGTTACGCCGTCTTCAAACACACCTGCTTGCTGAGTATCCATCAGATCATGATGGGTCTACGACGGCAGGTGTGCATGCGGGTATTTTCCTTTAGCCACTCGGCTGAGTTGCCGCTACCTCAACACAAGCGAAACGAAACCAATTCAGAGACAATGCGAGAAATGCCAAACTCATTAAGTATTGAGTTAACAAAAAACAGCTGAGTGCGGTCGTCATCGTCATCGTGGCAAAATTTGTTTTTGGCTTAACTAATAAATGACACTGGAGATCGCGAGAGCCACCAGGAAGACAGACGGATGAGCATAATGTAAAATACTTGTATGTGTAGCGCTCGCTCGAAAGCGGGGTGCGCGGTCTCGACAATCGCACGAGCACGCTAACAAACCAACAAACAAGTTAAACAACACCAGCAACAACAAGGTGACAACAAAAATGCCAACTAATAAAAGTAGCAGTCATGAAGAAATTAATTAGTTTGTTAAGCAGCACAGCAAACGCAGAGCGGCTTCCGCCATCGCCATGGACGTGCTACGCCTGACGCTGGGGCTGCGGCTGTGGCTGTGCAAAACTTTCATGCTGCACGGCTAGAAGGAATTTTGTCTTTGCCGTCGCGCCTAGGTGTGGTGTATCAAATGGAAATTAAAATGAAGCGGCGCAAAGGCGGCAAACATTTTAATTATGCACATTTTTCAAAATAATGCACTTTGTCAAGTAAAACTTTACTAGTGACAATAACTGAGCGCAATCGGGCAATTTGTTGCACGCGAACCTTGGGAGCGATTTTGCAGACACCCACCACATGCAAATCGGTCGGAGCGATTCTGTGATTTGCAAGTATTTGAGATCTGTGGAGTTCCACAGCACTTTTTCAAGGTAGCTTACAGGTGTAAAGACATAAATTGGGTGAGCTTTCCGAAATTATTCGAAGTTTCTCGATTTCATAGACGAGCTTAGAGATGCAACGATGAGGAACTGTGTTAGCTTAATTGGAGAAATGTTTTTTTTTTTTCAAACTGCTTATATATAATGTTTGCAGCTCTTGCATTCACGAGGAATATCTTCGTTGGAATATATAAGTAGGAGTGTGTGCGCTGCAATAAATATTTAATAACTTACGTTTTTATGTGGCGCATTTATTGGTAATTAATTTTGTTGGATTTATTGCCGTTGGCAAATAAAAGGTCTTTGCTAGCTGTCAATTAAGCAATTCGCTTTCACTCGCACCGCTATTCCAATTTACCGATTTTATGTGTCAAATATTTTCAATTAAAAGCTTTTTATGCAAGTTTTTCGTAAAGGTTTAGTGTGGCTCTGAATGTGAAGTAACTGTTTCACCAGTAATGGCTTTCGCTTTTATATTTTAATTAAAGAATAACCTTCCTTTGTTTGTCATTTCATTGCAATTTCGATTTCAATTAAGCAATGGCATAAACATAAAATAAACTTATGTGTATTATATAATACCTATATGCATGTGTATATTATATACCATATATGTATGAGGTTGTTTTATTGGTGAATATAACTCCTATTTCAAATATAACCTTAAATAGTAATGAACTGGCAAATACCTTGACTTTAATATTTTGAAAACTTTATAATTTTTCACCACTCTTCCAAAATAATGTCCGTTATCTCGCCAATAATGAACCGAATCCCAATTTCCGACTACTTTTTGAAGACAACGCGCATTAGTAGCTTAATTCCAAGGGTAGAGCTTCCTTAATGCTGAAGAAAAGTCTTCGTGACAATCCAACTATAAATGTAGTTTTTAAGGCTAAAACTTCTAGTCTGATTCTGATTCTATCGGAATCTGTTGCTTTGTATGGTCAAGCACCTACGAAATTGCTAAATCGTTCTTAAATATCAGGAAATCTAAAAGTCTTCTGAACGAACGAACAATAGGCGGGCGAAAATCTGTGTAAGGCTTTTCTCAGTGTGAAATTTGGTTGAAAAGTATGTATATAAAGGCACCTGGGTTCAACGAACGTTAGCATGCATAACACTTACACAATCGAGGTCCGTTTGAGAACCGTTTTTAACGCACAACATTGCCGTTTTTCTACGTTTCAGCTTAACTAGACATACTCCACGGTGCTTGAGTGCTGGTGGAATGTTGTATATTGTGATCCATTTGCGCTTTGTATCGCTTTCGCCTCCGCGAGGTTTCTACCGCGCCCTAAATATTTATTTTACCTCATCACATGCACTCACTTTCTTCGCTATTGTTGCTACATAAGTACTTGAGCACATGTACATAAGTAGTCATGTGATTGGCGAACGGTGAAAATTGGCTGCCATGCAACTACTTTACATGCACTTTCTAATCTCAAATAACTTTGAACAAAGAAGGCGAACAACGCACGCAGGTACTCAAGAGTTGGAGCTGAATCCGGAAGGCCGCGGTGTGGCCAAGTTACTTTTTGTTTGTGTTTCAGCTTAGTGAAACACCTGCAGAAACTTATTTAAAACTGTGGAGGCCAGAAATATTCGACGGTTCACAGCTACTGCAAAGGTTTCGTCACAGGTTCCTCATTACTCTCTGGTATCAGCTCATTATTATAGACATTAAACAGGGCATTTTTCAGTTTTTTATTAAAGAGTTAATGTACCCAGAATAATAATTAAAGTATTTCACTTCTACATTCCTCTTGTCCTTCCATATAATGCTGTTTCATTGATTCATCGATTTTCGAACAGAATGTCGTCCTTTCTCCTTGCGCATTTCGTGTGTCGCCTTTTGTTGCACATTCGCATTTAATTAAGGTCTGTCCTACACTTGTGTGGAGACCTCTCCTGCGATAAACGCTCAAAAATGAATTTCCAGAAATGCAGTTAACATGCTGTCCTCGGCTTGTTGGTGCAGTATTACCTCATATGTGCACACATTTGGATATATACGCAATTATAAGAATATCTGACATGAATGGCAAATGAATTTCTCAATTATTATATTTTTCGAAGAGTAATCGGACCCTTGCGCACACACAACGACCAATCCCATGGATAACCCGCATTTGAGGGAACAAAGTGGGTAGTTAATATTGGGACTGAAGGGCAGAGCATATTACAATAACAGCAGTGTAGGCAAGAGCTCCATACAACTCGTTATGTATACCCGTGTTAGCGGCAAAGGAAACCCTATTAAAATCGTTCGTCGTTAGGTGCAGTGTCTTGTCTGAACACCAAAAAGAGAATATCGTAAATATACACAGCATCGGCTGTATTGAATACTCGCTGTAGCTCTTCTTTCTCACTTAATTCCTTAGTTTCATGTGTATGGAAATCGCTTTATGTTATATCTATTTAATTTGAAAAATGCCTCGATGCGAAATTATATCCACGTGCTTTTACAAGTCTCCAAATATTTATATATGGAAGGCGATATTGTGGGGGCACTTGTCAAAAGGGAGTGTTTACTTCCTGTAGACAATGTCGAAAAATTGAATTTGTTTAGCCAAGCAGTACCGTATTGACACTTTATTGTAATGAGAGCACCACAGCCACGTTTATTTGCAGTCTAATGTTTGCGCAAAAAGCCCGGGCACTAATAAGATTTGCATTTACATGAAACCAGCAACACACCTTTAATTACTTTCCAGCTTTTTGTAGTAAAACACAAATTTCCATCGTTGGAGTTCGTTTCCATTCCCACTTCTATGTAGAATGTGCAACTGTGCAGAGTCGACATGCTGTGGCAGTGTGCAGTGGCAAGGCTGGGCTTCGCCTATTGCAGTTGCCGCCCATTAATATCGCACCAACACATTGGTGCCGACACCTAAACAAACAGCAGACTACAAATCATCGAATGCGAATGACATGCGGCACCGGGCCCGACGTCAGCACAAAAAAGGGAACGACAATGACATCGGCATTAATAATTGCGGCAACAACGGTGTTGAAGTAGCAATGAAATTTTATGCGATACATTAATACAACAACAACAATATTTGCAACTACAGAGTGTTAACAAACGGGAGCAGACATGGCTTGGCATAATAATAAGCTTGGACATAAGGTGACCCTTTCGGCTCAATCTGAATAGCATGTGTCCATGGTGATGCCACAACCGAACCTGCTCGCATGACCGTACGTAGTCGGCATATGAATTTAAATGTAGAAACTACGAGGTGCATATCTGTGATTACATGACACCATAACTTATGTGACATTAACAGGCTTTTTTAGAGTAGATTTAACTCGTTTTTCGAGACAAATTGAATATATGTATATGTTTGAAACAGATTTTTATAAAGTTGGCTGGCTTTTGAAAATCGTTCGAAACAATTTTAAAAAGTCGTTCAAAACTTTTTTGGTCCCTTGTTGAGTCCCAAAATGAGTACATACATATTTGAGATGTCCCGAAAATTGGACGCGACCGGTTCCATGGACGCATTGCATTGCGCTAGAAACAATCAGGAAACCGAGTTTTGTGGAAATATACCATAAGCGACAAGAGTCAGTGAAATCTTAATAGCCAGATGTATTTACTCGCATTGCAAACTAATTAAAACGATACAAATGTCAGAAATGTTGAAAGGCTGCATGTATTTGCACAATCCCGCGGCTCGCCCAAATCCCGGAAACCAAAAACCAAACCGCAGATTATAGCTGTCGTGCGAATGTAAAAAGCTTCCACTAATGCCGTCGACCGCCCAATGCAGCGCCAACTATTTAACCGACATGCGACATCGAATACAGGTCAATGCAATGCGAACTCACCAAAACATGCACACACAAATGCGCACAATAGTTTAATGTCATATTACACATTCGGACAAAAACAAAAGCAAAGGAAAAAGTGTGGACAATGGGGTGTATTTTGGAGGTAAGAATCTAGCGGTCTAGAGCGGTTGCTGTCAAACCAGGCTTCAGAGAAGACACATCTTTTTGTTATTTACTTTAATTTTATTTTGACTATACAAAGAGTTACACCGGAGCAGCGTTTCAAAAGCTATTGGGACAGAGTTTTGCATGTGTATGTGAATAAGCTCAATGGCTTTATGTAAAGTCCGTACATTCATGGAGAGAGTTTTCAGGCTATTTCGTTTGCAACAACCGTTTTTTTTGTATTTGCATGGCGAAGACCTTGCCGTTGTTTGTGGGCATTCCCACTGGCAAGATCAATCGTCTAAATGCTAACGGCTTCAGCAATATATTGCAAATAGTTGTACATAGTATCCAAGTTTCGTTAAGACCAATTATTGGTGGCCGACCAATGGATCACCTAGGCCATGTGATTTCAATCCGCCAGGCAAAATTTTGTGGAAGTACACCCAGTCCATGGTCTATGTTGGTTATCGAGTCACAAAAGTGTAAGAGGAAAATTGGAGAAAGCCCCAAATTTTACTCAAACACTCAATGCCGTGAAATTTCCCAACTACTAAAGTTAAAATGAAAAACATATATTTGAAAGAATGGTTCTCTATATCTGAATAAAACACCCTTTATATATATGAATGAGTTTGCTGGACATATACAGTATTCATTTATTGTTTTCAAGGTGTGGGCTCCTACACAAAAACAAATGCAAATGAAAAGCATAGCAAATTCAATACACCTTTCTAATGGTAAGCGCGCACTCACCCCCCAGCCACACCTATACACAACGAATAAGAGTAACAAAGGCGCGTGGGTGTTGATTTTCTCATTGCTATGTCCGGCTGAAAATGTTGCTGGCTTCATTATTAATGCAAATACGTTGCAGCACACAACCAGGTTTGTGTTGTTCGTATATAACGCCGGTTTGATGACAACACCAGTCGAATGAGTTTCATTATTGAAATTCTTACCTGTTACCAATATTCCAACTCTTGATTGATAAAATCTTCTTTGAAATTATAAAATTGCCATCTCCCTTTTGCTGTCATTTCGCACGGCGTCGAAGTTGGGGCGAGTCTAGCTCGATGAATACATCGGGTTTTTGTATATTGGGTGCAAGGTTTAAATTTGTTGTGAAGAACAGTGAGGACCTTTATCGTGGTTTAGTGCCTGCTGAGGGCTTTAAATCTTTAACAACAGGCAGTGCAGTAGCGTCGGTAACCCTATTTACTTACCCATTATTTGCAGTTAACCTTTTGTGTTTCGGGCGAATTAAATCAGAAACGAAAAACCAAACACTTTTGTACGCTTTTGAGACAAATAGTATTTATTTATATAATTTTTTATAATAATTTATTTATGAATGCTTAATTACCTTTTCATTATACATGTGTTTGTTTGTTTATTTATTTATTTATTATTTTTTGCTTTTGTTTTTGTTTTTGTTGAAGTTCAATAAACGCACTCAGGTCAGCACTAAAGTCAAACAGTAATCGGCATTTGCAGTTGCATTATTTATTCCTCACCCATATGTATGTATGTACATAAAATACATTGATGCTTATACTCGTATGTGTATACGCACTTATGTGTAACTGCCTAAACACATATACTTGTATTTATGTATTTTGTTTTATTTATTTTTTAATATTTACATTTCCTTTTTGTCTTTAGCTATTGTTGTTATTGTTGTGAAAATTGCCCATGATGAAATGATTATTCAAATACAAATATCCACATATGACTCATTACACCTCTAATGATAATAATTGAAAGTGATGAAAAAGAAGTGTTGTTGTTTTAGCTATTGCTTTTAATTACATACAGTACTATTTACACAGTTCGTGTTTTTTTGTTTTTTTTTTGCTTTATTGCACATTTGAAATTTGTTTTTTATATGAAATAGATTTAGGTCGTTTGGTTTATACATACATACTATACATGTGTATACAATACATAACGCATGCAAAACATTTATTTATCTATAATATATATATACATACATTTATATTTATATATATATACTCGTATGCGTGTAGTCACACAACTAGACACTTATGAACATATCTATGGAGAATTGCCTCGGTACTTAATACAGTACTCATAACGGTATTCGTCGCTCGCTATTACACTGGCGAAATTATTTTCCTATGTGTTTGTTTTTATTGTATTTAAATATAAGCTTTATTCTAGTAACTAGCCTAATCATATCACTAATTCAATTTCGTTCAAACCGCTGACTTCTAGCATATCAACACACTGTCAGTAGTCATAGAGCACCCTACTCTCCGCGCGGCCATTCACACACACTCGCAAATATTAGATGAAGCTCTAGCTTTTACTTAGCTTGATATACACGTAACTATACTCTCTTTTTCCTCTTATATTTAAACGGTTTATTTTGAAAACAACACACCTACTTAAATAATTGAAGCCTTACTCTGACTTAAATTCAGCTGTATTACATTAATAACGGTGCATTAGGATTTGCGCGAGTTTCCAAAATCAAACAAAGTACTTGGGTTCACGATGGAGGCATTCTTAAAAACCCTGTATTGGTTGGAAGCGGTTGTGCAATAGAGTGATTTACAAGGAAAGCTTTGGCCAAACTATAAAATACTTTAAGAGAATTGTGTTGGCAACTCTGGAATTAAGTATGTGAAGTAAGCGTCCACGAATGAAAGCTTTAACGACCTTCAACAATATTGTGGAGATTTTCAGCGCCTTGAGAGAGACTAGTTAGAAATGTAGCTTCCAACTTTCACTTCGCTTGATTTGTAATAGAATCAGCAAATGACTCCAAGAAGGTCTAAATGATCTCTGCTAGAATATTAGAACATATAGGCGATTCAGCTTTCTTCGGTTAGTCTCAAGCTGGAATTATTTTTCTGCAGAATTTAATTACTTTTTAATTCAGCACAGCCTTATTATTACAGAAACAACAGCTTATATATTTTGCTGGTTTTCATGAACTCAGAAGATCGAGCATTATATTAACTTTTCCACTCATCCATCCATCTGCCTCACACGCGTTTCTGAATATCATTTGTTGCAATAATAAACACTAAATTTCGGTAAAAAAAGCTAAGCTATGAAGCAATACTGGATGTTACTAATGTGAAGCGGGACTCTGGCTCGATCGCCGGTGTGTTTGTTGGTGCCTAAAGTGATTGCAGTACGAAGCAGAGAGCAGCATTTCAGTGGGTGCGTTTGCGTTATGAAGTTTATTGGGTATGTTGGCGGTGGTAGCGGTGCACAGAGCACCTGGTAGTTCACGAAGCCCGCTGCTTTGAGGCCTCACGCAGCTTATTATGAAGAAAAATATACAAAGAAATTGCCGCTCCAGACTTAGTGACCTGTAATTGACGGTGTTGCATTGTGGCAATCGCTGTTGCACGGTTGAAATTGGAATTATTGCATGACGGGCATTGTTATTGTCAGTAGCATTTTCTTGCGCCACGGCATGCCACAGTTGCCACAGTTGCCACAGTGTTGCATTGTTATCAACAGCATTGGTTCTCATGTCGCTGGTTGCCACAATGGTAATATTAAACCGACAGTAGCAAGCGCCGTTGCAGTAGAGTGTTGCTGGCTGTTGCAATGGCAACCTTCCGTGGCCCTCCCGCAGCCGCATGCTACCAGCCCTTAGTTGCAACATTGTCCGTTGCATGTAAAAATTTTCCATTTTATTTGTAGCCATTCTCGCACTCAGTTGGCCTTGCTTCGGCGGCGGTGGAAAAGTCCTCGTGCCTCGGTAGTTGCGCTCCAACGCATATTGCAGCATCAACAATATCCCAAGCAGCAAGGCAAATGCTGCCATTCTCCCGTTTAATAACATCGCTGATATTGCGGTCCGGTATTTGGAAGCTGTAGTCATGACCAGCGCCAACGCTGCAAATTCAATTTGTCGCTTTTTCTTTTCAACAAAAGGCTGCTGCTGTTGCTGCTTTTGTTGCTGTTGCACTCTCATGCGTGCAATGAGTTTCGGCAGTAGCGCAGCAGTCTGGCGACAACAGGATGCCAGCAATGCGCACATCAGCACTAAAACTGGGCAAGCGCCGGCGAGCGCCGTATGCGCAGCGGGAGCGTGCGAACGCAACGCACTCTGCTCCTTCTCCAGACATTGGCGAAACTCTTTGTAGTCCACACGCGTTATGGCGCAATAATGGTTCAACATGCAAACGCCCTCGCAGGAATCCGTCTGATAGCGGACGGTGTTGGCGCGGGAATATCTGGCAGGCAAATAGGAAGAAAAGAGAAGAGAGGTAAGTGTGCGATACTTTGTGGGTCAAAACGAAAATTGTTTAATTATTTTAAAGTGAAGAATCAAAATTAATAGAGAACAGACGAAAACGAAAGTTTTTTTCTTTGTTTCATGAGTTAAATAAATTTAATTTCGTAAACAGTTGTAGAATAAAATGAGATCAAATATAATGCGAATTTGAGAATAATTAAAAAAATGTTGATTGTTATAGATTGAATTCTTTTTGTAGCCTGAATATTTTAATGGAACTATTATAATCGGGAGAAAATAATTGTAAAAGATCTGGTGTGCCACAGACAGCTGTTGACTGTTCATATATCAATAAATATTTTCCCGCATTTTGGGGGAAAAAAATAAAAATAATAATAAACAAATATTTCTGTGAACACTTTAAATGCTTTACACAGTGCTCTGCTGGAGACCGGTAAGGAAGGCCTTTGTTTGTGTAAACAAGTTACGTAAAAATATTTACTCATACTTATACTACGGTGCGTTTAACTGATGGCCACAGGGCATAATCCAACAACGACGAAGAGTTCGGCAAATATGTGACCAACTTTCCACCCATCCGTGCATTGGAATAATCATATGCCGAAAGGCATGCACTCCCACATACTTACTCAGCTCCATCTTCAATGTTTGTGTAGGAAGCACTTCGTAGTGATAAGAAATCAACATACAAATATAATATGCATAAATTTGCATAAAAACAATCAAGACAATCAACATGGACCCAACAACAGCAATGTAAAGGCAAATAAACAAACAAGTCTATCAACATTTTGCAACATTCACAGGTACTCACACACCCACACACCCGAACTTACTCACATACACGTGTACACTTGCATAGGTAAAGAAAAGTGTCCATTCCACCTCACATGCTATGCATGGATGGCGCGTGCATCTGTGTGAGTGCACTTTGCAGGGAGGCGAAACGTCAACGACATGTCGAGCCGAGCAGCCACTGAAAATCTACGCTAATAGCGCTACGGTCGCTTAGTTGCTTTGCAGCAACAATGCCACATCGTCAATCGCTCGCCAAAGGCGAAACAACAATCGCACCGAGAAGTGCAAAAGTGGAAAGTGCGGAAAGAGTGGAAGGCGTGGAAGGTGCGGAAGGGCATGGGGTAGTGGCGTTACAGCGGATGACAGCAATGAAACGCATAAACAAAGGCTGAGGTAAACGCAATTTTTTTTGCTTTTTTATACAGTCAATTGGCTTTTTGGGTTCGCGTGTGCCGGCAACCCCCTCCGCTTTCACCTGCTTGAGCGAATGGAAAATTGGTGCTTGGAAAATGGGCTCTTGTTATGAGCTATTACGATTGACTTGTTGTTGTTATGCCTGCAGCAAAATACATCAAAACAATACCTCTTTGTTAGATGTATACAAAAACAATAACAAACTGGCTTTTATATGAAACAAGCGAATGCGCAACCGAAGTCGAATTGATTGGACGGAGTGGGGGTTTTACAGTGGACAAACAACAACGGGAGAAATTCCGTGGGTGCTTGATAGTAGATGCTGAAGTTATACCATAATTAAATATGACAGGAACTGGTCAATTTAACTGGTGCCGTGATCGGAACTGGAAGGTTTAGTTTTTTAGACAGTATACAAAAGTAAATTTGTGGCACAAAGCTCTTGGAGAGGGTCAAGAACGCATAGAAAACTATATTCGACGATACAATTAAAACATGAGGAAAATGCTGTTAGAAATTCGTAACAGTGGAAATCGGGATTTTGTCAAAGGCTCTTAGTTCTTCTTAAGGGTTTACCTAATTGATATTATTTTGGTTAGTGGCTCTTAAAATGGCACAAATTACATGCCCAAAGCTGGGTTTGCCGAATCTGCACATGTTAGGTTTTATAGAATTTATAGTAAAAGAAAAATATGATACATTACAAACAAAACTTAAAAAAATTTAACTTAAAAAGAATGTTAAAGTATTTCCCCATTCTTATTCTTACTTGCCAAACCAGGTGCCGTCGCCGCTTGTAAAGCGATCCACAAAATTGTGCAAAGAAATCGCCGATATATCACTGAGCGCGTAGTAATGGGTGAGGTTGTACTCCGGAAGCCAGTTGGGCTCGCCCACCTGATTCGCCAATTGCAAGTCCATGAAGTACTGCGTGTAGTCCAGAACCTGTAATTATGCATGCAAGTCATGCAAAAAATAGGTTAGAAAATTGTGCTTAAAAATAAAGTAGAAATGTTAAAGCAGTTTAGTTTTCTTTGGGCTTGGTTAGCCCAATTACTAACACATTCACATATGCGAGTGTACCATACATATTTAGCTGTATCGGAAAGTAAAAAGAAAGGCGAGTTATAGAAATTATTTTGGGTCAATACTAGCTTTAACATAATTCTCTGAAAATATCAAACAAATATCGCTAGAACCAAATTTGAAGTACTTCCATTTTGAACTGAACCAAAGCGCTCATCCGCTATGAGCAAAATTAATCGAAGCCTTGGAAGTGCAATAGATCTGCATGTTTCAGAGAGATTATTACGTCTCGACTGTCAGAACCTTTAAAATTGTTCATAGAGTTCCTCGAAATGTGATCGAAATAAACCCAAACTCTATTGGAAGAGTTGCATTAGGGTGACTTATTTAAGAGCGACAACAAAACCTTTGTCAAATAAAACGACTTAAATTTATAATAAAAGAGGCTCGACTATTTTTTGCCTTTCCATAAAGCATTTACGGAATTTTCCAGAACTAACCCACCCTAATTCATAAAGTCGTGTGCCGTTGTGTTTGCCGGCATAGCTGCATGCATTGCGAAATTGTCTATCATAAAAACGGCAACGGCGCACTCGAGTACAAACGTAGTTGCCATAGCGATGGAACGGAGTGCGTGTTAAAATGTGCATAACTTTGCCAGCGCTTGCAAGTGGCATAAATTTGTAACGCGTTGAATAAATGGTAAGAGAGTTCTTGTGAACGCGAACAGAATGGCGCAGCTCGTGTAGTCATTTGCATACGAATATGTAGACCAAACGTATATATGTATATATCGGCAGCTTGTAAAGCAATGCAAGCGCCATTCGTTGGCGGATGTATGCCCGAATGGAGGAAAGTTTGCAACTGTATAAATTAAATTTGTAGCACACTTCGTTACAAGCCGAACCCAGGCGAACACTAAGAAAAAACCAGAGTATGGCAACGCAAGAGAAAATAATTCTCGAACAAAATGTTGCCACAGTTACAAAATTGTGCGCCTCAAATAGAGAACAAAAGCTTGATATCCGTTTTGACCAAACCGTCATTCTTTAGAAGGCTTTGGCGCGGAAATCGAATTCCAACTAAAATTTTCATCTATGCCCTTAATGAAAGTCTTCCTATTCACAACTTTAACTTATCTTTGGCTTTGAACATCAGTTTTTTTAAATATTGAGAAAAATCAGAAAATTCATTAATGACAAGCCAACAACATTAAAATCATATATGATGGTCTGTTATCCATGTCAGAGAGACGACTGCAGAAAAGTGTACAGGGTTAAATATTCTTTGCATAATTTTGTTTTGACATAAAGCTTCTAAAGGGATCTTCGCCACTAATATTATTATGTTACAAAATCAGGCGTTCAAGTTAACCAACCTGGCCGGAATCCGTATCGAACTTGTAGAGCCGCATTGCCGGGTTATTTGAACCTACATTCAGCTTCCTTGGCGTTACAGACGGTGAAATCATCATCCATGAAACCGGTTTTCCTGCAATGATAAAACAAAAATTGGTACTGTTTAGTTTAATTGTCAGCTGAGCATTCACATAATCTTTTATATATTCAATTATTAAATTTAAAGTAGTCCTACATATCTAAGCTTTGCGAGATATTTGCTTATATAAATGATATAGCTGAATTTTTCGTTCGCATACCTGTCGCTGCATTGAGCAAAATTGCGAAATTAATACGTGTGCATAAAGACGAAATTAAATAAATTACTTATACATATGTATATGTTTGCCTTGTAGGTAAATATGTGTGTAATGTATGCCATGGGCACCCTGCAGGAATATTTGGGATACATGTCCCCCCTTAGCTCGATTCTCTTGAACGCCGAAATCCTTAGGCTCCTATTAAATTGAATAACTCTTTATTTTCCTCTTCCTTTTCTGCAGTCGTGCATCGCTCATTTTGGCCTTTACAAATAAACACGAATTAGCCATAAATATTTTTCGATAAGAAAACATCAAAACTCGAGAAGCTCTCGGTATGCCAAGGGGTCCTCATTTGCATTTACTCCCGCGAGCCTTGAGTGTGTACATCAGCAAATGAAAAATGAATTATGAATATGTTATTGCCGACATACAAGTATACACATGGCACATACTTACGTATATAAGGTTGCATACATGTGTAGCTGAGAGCCCAATAGCGATGGATGTGCGTTTGTTTTTATGCCGACATTAAAGGGTTTTATGCACGTTTCATTGCGGAAACAATTAGCCAACGGATTTACGCTTCTCACTCGACAGTCGCGCACTTGTGAATGCAAATATGTGCGCCACGCTACTTAAATACATTGTAAGCGCAAATTTATGGCAGAAGCGAGTGCGCTTACAGATACAGATACGCCCAAAGAGCATTGTGTGGCCACTCGAAATTATAAGAGCGTGTTCATTTCGGTTTTAAAATTGTGCTATTAACATAGGAGAATCTGGTAAATGTACTTTTCAAATTCATCGTTCACAATTCCATTAAATTTAAATTAATTTTTTATTAAATATTAAAGACCTGCTTTCGAATTAAAAAGTCGATATTTTAAATATATTAGAGGAAAACACTATCATTACTTGTACTTGGTTTCTTCTAGAGTACACAACTTAAGCTTAATCAGCACTATCAAAAAGAGTGCTTTAAAATCGTGGGGAAGAGGCCATTTCCTGCATGAAGAGACAATGATCGCCACCATTCACCGAAAGTTTGGTGCGGTAGGCCTCATTTTGTATGCATTTGCAAGCAAAGATTTCATGCTGAGATGCATAATGCGTTTTAGGCAAAATGCCTGAAGTATTTATTTATCGTTTATTAAGGCATAACTTTCTCAGGGCATTTCAGTGTGTATATGGGTGTGTGTGTGTTGAAGATAGGATGTGCTAAGTGTTTTCCTTGTACTTGTAGTCAAATGGCTTTCTGGCTGCAAAATGACAACTACCTGACAACCACAAATATCAAGTATGTGTCTTCCAGGTCACTGCACTTGGCTATCTACAGTTGTACGCTTGGTTTGAGTGAATATAAGAATACAGAATATACAGTCTATTACATATATTGCTGCGATTACAAACATGCACTGACAAGATGGCGATTAAATCACACTCACATAAACTCCACATAGCCAGAGCAGATGGCACTGTGATTGAGTGAATTGTGCATAAATAAATAAATGCATGCATATTCTAATTCAGCTAAACATAAATACATATTAAATTGCGTTGTGGATTCTGGCATGAGTGTGAATTTAAAGAGAAAAGGCATGAACATTTATGCAAATATCATTCATATGCAATATTCATGTGTCATATTCCGGAGGTCTTCGCCACAAAGTGGTCGCCCGGTGACAAAACGGCATCAGCGACGGTAGGAAGGAAAGCGGAAGCAGCAGAAATAAAATCATTTTAAAGTTTGTTGACTGGCACTTAGCCTGGTGACACTTGGTTGCTCATACGCCCGGTGGTGTTCCAGGCATTTCCATTCAATGCGGCTGAGGTAACTTTTGTCACCGCGTTGATGATATTTACAATTTAAACTTATTAAGTAATAAATTCTGTTTGTTATTTATTTGTGGTAATTGAAAAACTTTAAACTTTAAAGTAAATTGTTTTCGAGCCCACTTTCCGAGTTGGGCGCTGCAAAATATCGTACAAAGGCGACGGAGAAAAAATTGTTTGTTTGATGAGCAAAAACTGTCAACAGTTACTGGCACCCAAGATATTTTTTCTTTCTCTTTTGTTTGCCTTCGAAGTCTATTTGTCGTAGTTTGAAACTTTTTGCTTTTCTTTGGCGCTCTATTTCTGTTAATCTTTTTTATTGCTCTTGGTCTGTTCTTGCCTCCTTATTTAGCTGGCCATCCATCATGGGCCTTGTAAGCGCCAGCAAATATGACAAACAAAATTTGTCGCCAAGTCTTTGTAGACTTGTGGGTGTTATTGGAGTATACATATATCTATATATTATATATCTCCTCATTTATAAATAAACATATGTATCTACATTTCGTATATACTTTGCAGGCAGATTTGGACTCATATCGCATTAGGGTGTGATTGTACATTTTTAATATAAAGCCTGTAGTATAGATGCTATATTTGTATTTTTCGTAACGGTAACTGTTGCTTATGTTCATTTTGTCTGCTTTTTGCTTGACGAAGACAATCACAGTTACCGCCAGTATTCCTTGTGCTACATTCGGATAAGCTGGAAGTCACTTCCCTGAGCTACCGTAATAGTTGACGGTGCTATCCCTTAGCGTGATGATATGTGATGATCTGATTTGGACGGTTTCTCATATCAAAAGCCAAGAGTTAGGGATGGCTGTAGACCACCAAAGTCCATTTATTTTACCCAGTCATAATTTCCTCGCTTCGCACATAAATAGTTTTATGAGATTGTTATTTAAATCACCATAATTATTTGCAGTAATAAATATTTTCGCATATTCGTACACAAATAGGCGCGTATGTCTGTGTAAACCCAAACAAACACATGTCAATGTTACTTAAATAACCAGTTTAATTAACATAAATGCTCAGTATGTCATTTGTAGAGTTGTAGAGAGGTTGTAATGTTTGATCATTTGCGGCAAACCGAAGTTTACAACTGCTTATGTAGTAGTGCGCATGAGTTGCGATAATTGATTGAGGAAATGCCAACAAAATCAAATGCAAATATGCCAGATAGCAGTAGGAATAATGGACAGACAAAACATGAAATCATGTGAATTTCTATGGAATATCTTATTGACTGGCGAGCACAGACGCTCACTTAGACGACATGGTCTATTCAATTTTGGTATTTAAATGCTTATGACTTGGAGAATTCAATAACTTTTCGCCTTTGTTCACAAGCTATACAAAAAGTATTAATTAATGGATGTTCATGTACTTGTAGTACAGAGGTCAAGAAACTCATCAACTGCGGCGTACAGTGACTGCAGATGTGGCCACAAGAATGGACCAACAACAGGCTGCACACACATCTCACTTGCTCTTTGGCAAAAATTTTGCATTTTTAAGGTATTTTAATTAAACCTATAATCTTCATGTCTGTTCTCCAACTCACGTGATATTTGACGAAAGTTCAATTTAGTAAAATTAGACATTTTGTTGGTTTTGTTGGACATTCGTCTGCTTACATTTTCGACTCAAAAATCGCTTCGTGCGTTTGAAACTGTCACTGGTGCTTAGTGTTAGTCTTCTAGCTCTAGCAAGCCATCACTTGTTGGTGCGCTAGTGTGAATTTCAATCGCAGAGACATCAATAAATTCAACGTATGTCATAGTCAGCTGTACTTCTACGTAAAAGGGTTTTGCTTCAGATGCCATTTTCCTTTGCGAGTCTGCTACGTCTGTGAAGTTGTTCTAAATTGTCTGCTTAGAAAATGTCTTATTTCGACTAAAAATTGGATCTCTCTAATTCTTCGATGAAATTTATTGATGCTTCAAATATAGACCCATCCGATGAAATGGGTAATCAAGTCCCCAAAAATATTTCCAACAATTTTAATCAAAAGCTTCCCTAGGGTCTATCTGGGTAATGAGGTCTACTCTGAGCAATTTTAAGGCCATTGTCGTTCGAGTTTCAACGTGCCTTGCAGCCATTACAGCAGTTGATAAGTGTCTTGTCTTGTCTGCTTTAACCTTTCAAATTGAAATGGGCTTGTCGCAGTTATGTTAATTCGCATTGACGGAATTCAGTTCGGATGCAACATAACAATCGAAATGCGGAAATGCAATTGTGTGCGCAAATCTTAGCAATTGATTTGGTTCAAACTGGCTGTACAGGGAGCCAACAACAATTGTACGCAACAACAATGGCTCGCAGTTGTACTTTGTATCTGTAGAAATTAATGCTCGTATAATTGCGAAGCCGGAGGAGTGACAGACATGTTTATATTAATGAACAGCCGGCAATAGACCAGTATGAAACAATATATATACTTTCGGTGTACTTCCTTTAATTATTGCTTTTCTACACAACTAATTTATTACAAATAATGGATGTTATTGTAATTTTGTTGTTCTAGTATTCCGTTAAATGCAAATATGTATCTTCTGTTTACTTATAATTATCTTCTCGAACTATATTATATGTAAAGGTTAAAATACAAATATGTACATATATAACTCACCATTGTCGTCGTATATGATCCGAAAAGAGTCCGAATGCATATGGCCGAAGAATTGTCCCTGGATGATTGACGAATACTTTCGAACCAATTCCAGGTAGCGTTTATTATTTGTTTCGGTGAATGTGGTGCGACCATTTTGCTGCAAACCGATGTGGCGTTCATCTGAGCCAGGTGGAATATGTCCCACAATGTAGACCTGCGGAAACCGAAATTGATATCATTTGTAAACAGCTTTTACTTTTTAAGTTTGTACACTCAACAAAGTTTTAAGAGATATAGCTTCCTTTCAAAGTTATGTTTGTATATGTATATGTTAATGCAAAGCTCGACCCTAGATGCAATATCGACTTATATTACCAATCGCGAAGCTACGCAGAAAAATAAACTTTCGAACAAGTTGGAGCTTCCATGTCTTATTAATTCAACAAAATATAGTAAGGAATGTAACTCCAGAAGCTACAATACATCATATCATGCGCAACGAAAACACGACAATAGTTATGGTTTGTGAATTGATAAACTAAGAAGGATACATTGAGCCACCAGTACTTCTCAAAGGCTTGGATGTGGTTCAAAAACCTGTGATGAAAGCGTCTAATTACTATACACTTACTGTGCCTTTTCTATATAGTGAACTTAAATGATATCACCACTTTCCATTGAGCTTCTTCATTTACTTACTAACAAGATTTATTTTTGATTCAATAGTTTTACGAAAAGGCCTTTAATTGGAAAATTCAAGTACATCTCATTAAAACTAAATATCCAGTCACTCTAAATTAAACCCCGAGACAAATAAGAGCCAACAAAAAGTTTATAGTATTACAGGTATTGCAGGTGCTAGTAAAATACATAGGTATCAGCTTAATACCCATTTAGGGCTCCCTTAATATCTAAACAATATGTACAGCCTGAATACAAACAGTTCAGCAGTCGTGTATGACAAAGCTTAAATAGACCTAATTAACAGGCTAAGCTTCGTGTCACGCGCTGAAACATTTTAATTTCAAAATTAAACATCAACAGTTTAAAAGAACATACAAATCTGCCACCGCATACCGGCTAACTACTATCTCAGGCTGACAAGTCAACTGGTTTAAATATAAATGAATGTACGAGTCCATGCACGAGAGTATTTAAGATTAAATCAGCACTGGCAATGAGGCACAGAACAAAGAAGACAGAAGGCAAAGGAAGTCACGGAGTTATATAAGTAGTCATGTACATATGCACACAGATCTGTGCTAGATTCCATGTCCATGGACACACACGCACACATACCTAATATCGAGCCTCTAAGTTGTGTGCCGAAAAGGTGTTGCCCTTCGTCTTTTGTATCCCGGCCCATTGCGGTTGAGGCCGACTTGGAAGTTAAACTATTAATTTGCACACAAACGGCTGCAGAATTGTAGTCGAATTAAGTAAAAGGCAAGCGTTCAATGTTCTGTTTTAAGTGCTCTGGCTTTGGAACAATAAAAACTACAAAAGCAACCGAGTGTAACCTTAAATGGAAGCAGCAGGCGAATAAACGGCACTTAGCCTTGTAGGAATAATTTACCACACCGCCGTTTCGAGCTTTAACAGCGCATGACGAGCAAAGAATACTTACTTTTAAATGAGAGCTGAGCTCCAAAATACTAAAATGTCCAGAAATGCGTGCTTTTGATATAATTGAGCGAAATCGAGGCATGTGTTCAACATTATACTGAATAAATAGATTTGAACTTATGAAGTCTTTTCGATCTGTCTAAAATTAGAGAGCAGTGAATCGAACAAACGACTAAAATAAAAATATTGGCAAATCAAACAGCAAGCAGTTATACAACTCAAATGAAGAATCTTCTTGAAGTGAATTTGATTGGATAACTTGGATTGTATTTTCGAATGACAATTTTCTAACAAAGTTGCCTAAAAGGTTAATCGAAGCCGACCAATGAGATTATATCTTTTAAGTATTATAGAAATCAATGAATCAGAAATGAGAATTATATTAATTAGGGTATGATGCTCCCATTTAGTCATATTTTAATCGATAAAAACTTAAAGAATGATACAAATTACCAAAGACTTATTAAAAAAGTTTTTACTTCACTTTGATAAAGTATGGGAGCTATGTGCGATGCGATTTATTCTTCGACATTAATTTGCCAAACGATCAATCCATAAAAACGTTATTATTAGATTGGAATAAGGAGTGACACCTAGGTGGTGAATAGCATACCCTGGCGAAACTGCCTATCGAAATAGAGCAATAACGATTACGTTACAGATTTTCAAAAGTCATATATTATGTATGTATTATACATATACGTTTAGGGAAATGTAAATGAATGCCTCTTCGGAATCTATGATTGAAATTTTAAAACTATTTAGAGGAGATTTAAAATGATCGACCGGGGTTTTCAAACGGTGTTTCAGTATTAGTGTTTACAGCAAAACCACCCGAGTAAGTCTCAGCTAAATGCATAGATTCTTATTTTCTGCGCATTCTGTGTCAGCCCAAGTCGCAATAAATAAGTAACTGTGTGTGTCGGCTTAAATTGTTGTCCTTTGGAAGCTTATTAAGCTAGTTTGTGCTCAACCGCGGCGCCACTTGTTTAACTAAACCCATTACTCGCGTTCCCTTGCGGACAGCATTCCCTTTATCCTTTATTTATTTATGTGTGCACACTTTGCTCCCCTTACAGCCACACTACTACAGGGACTCTTTAATCTATTTATGTAAATTTGATCCCATTTCGGTTCACATTCGCCAGGGTTTGTTCTCAACTGCGAACTTTTCTCAAAAGCCTCTTTACCTTTGTTGTATTCATTTATATAAATACAGTTATACATGTACACAAACACCTTTTTTGAGTGTTTGAGCAGACACTGTTCTTATTCTTCTCCGGCCATGCTTGAGTATGCAAGAGTATGTGTAAATGTGGCTTGTCTCGCCACACTGGAATTAAGTCAACCGCCGAAATGGGAGAAGCGAGTAAATTATTTAAATGAGATAAACATAAACTGCAAATCTACTTATACCATTTTTCCACAGGCGAACTGAGGGCACGGGGAAGAGTTGGCTAAAATGTGCTTGTTTGACCGCTGGAAAAATTGCTTTTAATCACTGCCATACTTGGCTGCAGTTGGTAAAAAGTTCTAGGCAAATTTAACTATTGCCAACGTGCCCAGCAGCTTTAGCACTTTATGTGGATTTGTATCGCTTCTTTATACAAATTCTTTCTTCATATATGGCAAGCTCGCTTTAGCTTGTAACTGTTTGAACTTTTGTTTTTCTTGTGCGGTTGTAGATTGCTCTTAAGCTTTTTATATGCTCGTAGTCTACGAGGGGTACAAAGATTTCCTTTGTAGTTATAGGTACTTTTTAGTACGAATAATTGAGAAAAAAGTGATCCGAATTTTACTAGAGTTTAGCTGCTAAATAACACATTTGAAACTTGTGGAATATACTTAAAAGCTGCAGGAAGTTTTAGCCTGTATGTGTTTGTTGGGGTGGTAAAACAACAAAAACGTAGAACAATCGTTAGTCGCTGCAGTTGCTCTATCTGACGTTTGGGTTACCTTATTATAAAATAATATGATGTCTCTCGAGATACTAGATATTGAAGTTCGGCGTTTGTAAACTATCCTTGTGTTACTGTTCCAATACGTACAATGTTATATACTTTCTTTATAGGTAAATGGGTTTCACATTTATATTTGATTGGGTAATTTACCTTCTCAAATATTCTTACTTGTTTCTCCATTACAAAATTTAACTAATATATAAGAAATTTGAATATCCCTGCTGCCAAAGGCTGCCTCAGACCCTTCTTCTGCTTATGGGCCAATATGGTATATTGCTAATGATTTCTTCTGTAATCCATATGAAAATAGGCTAACACTATTTTTGTGAGCTGATTCTTCTGGGCGTATCTACGTGTCAGCTAATAAATAATATTTTTGTGGTAGCAATGTACCCGTGTTGGCTTGGCTCTGAGGAAAGCAACCTATAACAACTACAAAATATTATAGTAAAGTGAGATATGCCTCTAGGTGTATTGAGTGTATTGAGTCCTCACAGTTATCAAATTTCTGACCTTCAGTATTCAAGTCGATATAATCTGCACTAAAACTTGTTATATACAAATTTATAAAAATCTGCCTAGTACATATAGTCGTACCGATAAGCATTTGCAAATAATATACTTACTTATATATATGTATAGGTATGTGTGTTTTTGTTATCACATACTCGTATTAATATGTGCTGTGGGCGTATGTGGGGCTTGCGGGGGTCTAATAGTGACATTGGTGTGGTTTACGCCAACTCAGAATTGTATTTTCCACTTTTGCGGCTTAAAAAGGATTAAAGTGGTTTAAAACATGTGCAACATGCACACAGAGTGGCAAACAGGAGAGGCAAATAAAGAGCAGAAAATGCATAAACAAAGGTGCTGGGAAAAATATATTTGGTTTCATTTCGCCGGGTGTGCCAAATAAATAAAGCTGGCATCCTCTCCTCCTCTCCGTTCCCGCGACCATGCAGGCGAAAGATAAACTAAAATTTTGCAGCAAAACTTCCTGCTCGTAGATATTTATTTTGGCCGATTGCCCACCTGATGGCGAAAGGTTAGTGACCACTAATGCGTCTTCGAATGCGGCCTTTGTTGCTGCGTTCTGCCAATGGGCGTGTGAGCGTGCGTACAGTTTTAGCCGCATGCCCCGAGACCCGTGCAACTCGTGCCACTTACCCTTGTATACATTTTGTAATGCAGCGCACTTAAAGTAGATTATGTTATTAACAAGTGACCTCCATGGCACTTGTCTGCCTGTGTGAAGGTATGAGGTCACCGCAGTGCATGTGTAACGGTATATGGTTTGCAAACAAATATGGGCAGGTATTAGTGTGTTTGTGTTATTGCATTAAGTTGACTGGACATTACGACTGTCCTGCAACTATTGCCCGCAGGGACCAGGAAATATCCATTCAATGTGAAGGATATGCCAACTAAATTAACATGAGAGGAAGATTTTACTAAACAAATGAGGAAATCACAAGCGATCATTTGTGTTCGAGTTTTGATTAGGAAAATGGATTTTCATTTATTGAATGTTGTCATGGTTTATTATTTTGTTATGGTTAAGCATAATGCATGAAATCACTGAGAACTTAACCGAACTCGTTGACGTCGTACTATTACCGCACTGTTT